TATAATCAGTAAAACTTTGGCACGTTTTCATTATTTTTATAGAAAGAAAAATGACATTGAAGAAAAGACGGTCGGCCACCGAGGAACATCGATCACACGAAAAACGGAAAATGCGGCTTGTACAGTTTTCGCTCCTGTTCAATATGCTTATAGTAGAATGTCGGCAATACTTACGAATAGGTAAACAGCGTGAAATCATTTCTGGAGCTTCAGAATATGGAGCTTTCTTTACCTGCGATTCCCTCCCAGGCGGGGACGTTAAAGGCAGTGGATCGGCAAAATGGGCCCTTCTCGGATCTTGGCCACCAGCACAGCCTATTCAGTGGAAGAAGGCGGGGCGGTAGTGTTTTGAAGCGCATTTTTCATGACTTAGCGACTGAATTGGCAGGTGGGGTTCGGGCTACAGGTACTTGGGGTCTACTACCTAACACCCTATCACGGAAGGTGCATCTTGCCGGTTCACTGCCCTTAATGCATGCGTCTCTGAACACGTTCCATAACGGCCAATGCGAAGCTCTGCTAAGCAAAGTTGACGCGCTGGTTTATACAAAAAATTGCAACCTGTACATTTCCTTGCTAAGAAAGACTTTTAAGCCGCTGTTTATACCTATAAGTCACAGCTTGAGATTTGACTTGTATGCAGGAACTTCTAAAGAACTGCGTCTCAAGATACAGAGCCCTCTGTACCAAATGCTAAAACTTTTCAAGGATAGATTGCTCGTCTCTCAACTTTTGGCACATTTACATTTTCTCTCCTTTCCCCGCTTATGCCAAAAGCGCTGCAGGATGTAGTGCGCTCTGCGAAAATTCCTCCAGCTTTTCTGAAGTGTACCAACAGCGATAATATTCTATCTACAAGAAATATTCTATTGAACAAGTAAGAGTGAAGAAGCCGTAGTCACCTGGGATAAGAACTCTGTTGAACGGAAAAGAAGTGTTGACCTACATTTGAAGTTTTTTGGAAAAACGAATTTTGGAAAAACGAACGTTAGCTAAGAGAATAGGCGGTACACTTAACACACCCCTAAATTACCCTTCTAGGCGAAGTTTTAGGAAAGTCTGTGTGAGCCCCCACCGTAAACCTACCTAACCCTGAAAATGTCCTACTTTTTGAATGATTTTGAAGTCTTCCCTTTCTACATGAAATGAGCCAGATTCATTACTGCGTATTTTAGTGTGACGTTTTGCACTCTTTTGTGCCCATCATCCTGGCGTGGTGATCACAGAATCGACGCCTGCTGCGCAACTTCATGTCGAAGGCAAATTCAGATGCCTGCATCTTTTGTGCGCGTGCCACAACATTCGAACGCGTACGCGGGTTTGCAACCGATTGCCTTCTTATTCAAATCTACAAAACTACTCTGCTACGAGAAGAGAGACTGTGAAGATTGCAATGCTGAAATGAATTTCCTTTTAGCATATATATAAAACATGCTTTGACACTATAAACCGACACTGGCGAAGTCTTAGCTTTCTTCTCCAAAAAAAATGCAAAAGATTCGCAGTTATAGTCCAACTGAGTGCGAAGAAAGTGTCAGAAAATGAAAGCTTCAAGATTGCCCGAACTCTCTTTACCACCTAATATTCGCATCTTCCTTTATCGACAAAACTAGAAAGAATATCCTATGCCATGTCCGCTTTCACTACGGTATTACATCTGGAGTCTACGGCTTTTTACGAATCTTCTGCGCAATTACATCAGAACATACCTGATACGCGCCACCTCTATCACCTTTTTGCTTATCTCCTTGTCGGTCACTGCGACCAGGGAACCACTGACCAGGACCAGCGTAACCAGCTCTTCCAGTGCGAGGCTCCAGTATCTAGATCAGTTTTCGATTTGGCAAGTCTTCATCATTAGCTATTACTTGTTCGTTATTATCGGCTAGTTGTTGGAGCTTGTCGGTGAGATTCAAAGCAATCATTTGTAGTCGCGAAGGTTCAACCCGATGCATCATAAGGCAGTCCGTGGGTTCATCAAGAGTGGCAGATAGTTCTTCTTGAATGATCATTTTGCTGCAAAAAAAAAATCATTTT